GTCTCATAAAAGCTTTCCTTACCCAACAGCCTCCTGAAGATGGTAATTTGAGTCAGAAAGTTTCCTTAAAAGTTGGCTTTGATTAAACCTATTAAACCTCTCAGCCACATTCCCCAGCCCTTTTTATATTTTCATTTTGAGACAGGGTCTCACCAAGTTGCTTAGGGCCTTATTAAGTGTCTGAGGCTGGGTTTGAACTTGTGATCCTCCTACGTCAGTCTCCCAAACCACTGGGATTACAGGCCCCGTGAGGAGGTTCTTAATTTTAGAGGGGCCCTCTAATTTCAGTCCCTTTCAGTATTTGTGGAGTATGTTGATGGATAAAGCCTAACCTCTTGTGTACCCAGTATAACAAAAATTCTCAAATCTGCATCAGAAACATCAGACATGATGGGTTTTTGTTTTTTGTTTTTGATACCAGCATGTTTATTTGCTCTGAGTCATGTTATTAGAAACAGAAACCAATTCTGGAGCCCCTAAGGTTCTGAGCACTGCCTACTGCACCAATAGCAGGACCAACTGACTCCCTGGGTGGACTCACCAGGCAGGCTTGAGCTCAATTCAGGACAAGAGCCTCCTAGGGAATAGGCTTTGCTGTGAGTGGTGCACCATCCAGAGGTTGTAGCCCAGGGCACTGAGGCTGCTCCATCAGCCTAGGTCCACCTCCCTTCCAATTCCCATGTTCCCTTTAGTGGTTGCAAAGTGGCGGCTCTGCTCCTGGGTGTTGCATCAATCTCTGGGTGGGGGGGAGTCTGCAAGTGGTGGGTGCACTAGGTCTGTCCCTCTACCATCTGTGTTATCAGGCCAGTGACTTACCCCCATCTACTCAGAGTCCACATGGCCAGGATGGGGGTAACTTAAGGCCCAGGCTTGCAAAAGGCAATGGCAGGCCTGGCACATGCTGACTTTCCAAGGATCAGCTGTCACCTAGCTGGAAACAATCCTGGACACTCCTGTGACAGCAGGTTCTGAGGGGACTCACTGCACACCACCTCAAACCAAGGCCAGGATGATAGCTGAGAGCACGCAGGGCCACAGACCCATGCACGGTTCTCCTCTCCAGGCTCCAACATGTCATGTTCCTCCATGGGTCCTCACACATAGCACTGTCATACCTCTGCTCTCAGCACTTCACCTGTGTTCCAGATGTTTCTCTGACACAGCCATGTGCAGGCCAAGTGCCAGAATCACCAGAGCAATAATGGCAGCCTGCTCCACGCAGGACACTGCCCAGCTCGCGGTGAATGCACCTGAGGACACCAGGAGGCCCAATCAGTGGCAGAACTGCAGCACTGCTCCAGTTGATAGAGGAGACTGTGAAGCAGCCTCAGGCTACCACAGGCTGGCAACAGTCATCTCTATGAGGCCTACTGAGCTCTGCCATTGCCCATCCCTTGCGTGAGGCAGTCCACCCCCCTGGCTATGCAGAGGTGCCCCCTCCTTCCTGCTACCTGTAGCACTCCCAGGACTGCATGCAGGCCTTGTGAGGTGCTGCGCTGGGTCTTTCCTTGCCTGCCCATAGTGGCCCTGGACTCACAGCTCACCAGCACATCGCTCACATATCGCACAGCACTGTCCAGTCAGTGGTACTGACACTGGATCTTGTGGTCTGAACACAACCTGAGAGGACACCCAAAATTAGATGGTGACAGGTTCTGCACCCTGCAAGATCTTTGTCTTCTGGTCTGGTCCCAGATATGATTGCAGCTAGGTCCTGAGGTCCAGGGTGCTGCAGCCTGCATGCTAGGATCTCTACCCACCACCCCTGCAATGCTTCTGGTGGCTCCTGCTGCATCTGGCATCATTGTATTTCTCATGTCCCCAGAACCTCAATCTGGCTAGGCCCTCTGAACTCCCACTGCCCCTGGGTGCAGCAGACTCCTGGTTTCCAGGCCTCCCTCTGCTTGGCTGCTTAGCAGTTAGGTCTGATGTGTGATCCTGGCTGAAAGTTCTCTGCCCTCAAAAGCTGTGCAGCACCCACTGGGGCATCTTGTGGGCCCTCAATTTTCCTCCTGAGAAGGACAGCGTGTCTCCCCCTGAGCCCTGGAAGCATTTTGTTATTGTGTTCTGACTGTGATAACATGTTCTCTGCTCTGAGACATTTAGACGATGACTCCAACTAGCTGTGAGTACAGTGCTATTCCAAAATAGTGACAAGATGGGACACATTTCCAGGGCCAAAGCCTGGGGCAGGTGGCCTATGGGCCCAGTGGCATCTCCATAGCCATTTGGGCCCCAAGCTCCTATCTCGTTGTTCTGTCCTCCCAGCACATGGCTTCCCTCCTGTGGTCCAAGGTGCTACCCAGGCTCTATTCATCACATCTGGTTTCCAGTCAGCAGAAAGGAAGGGTATCTGCACACGGAACTTCCACTGACCTCTCACTTGTGAATTGTCACTTGGCCACACCAGCAGCAAGTATACTTGGGAAGTGAATTCTTCCTTCAGTGCTGACCCGGAAAGGAAGACTTGGATAGGTGGGAACCAGCACCTGCAATTTGTTGGAGCTCCTGACACCCCTTTCCTTCCTGACTTCCATCTCTTTCTCCAGACCTCCTCAATGGTGTCAATTTTAACTATTACAAACTTTTTCATACACATTTAAATTCCCAGCTCTTTTCAGCTCTTGGAGGATTCTGTACTCTGGTACTCTGCTCTTGTTTTTCAACTAGGTGCCACTTTTGATCKCTGAGAATGCTAATTCACAGTTTCTAACACTCTCTCCCATTCCTGGAGTGAGATTCTGTCCCTAGGCAGAAACTGTTGGTAGCTCTGGCAGGCTTGGCCTACAGCAGGGCTCTTGCTGTTCCTCTGGGACCTGACACAGGTGGGCAGGAAGTCTGCAACCAGCCTAGCCTCCTGTCTCCGGCTTCTGTCCACTTGTTTGTCTGCCCCTGACTGTTATATTGTTGAGAAAATTCTGGTGTATTATGGTTTTGGGAAAAACATCCTCTGTGTCCTAGATCCCACATTTACTGGCAGCTGTTCCAGAACTGCTTGAGATCTTGAGAACCTGTTCATTCCTGTTCTTCACTTCAGGCACAAGCTCCTCTCCCCATGCTTCCCTGTACTGAGCAGGCACTTAAGTGCCAGAGGGCAAGTCCTGCACAACCCTCATCCAGAAGAGAGAGCCGCCCTGTGACACCCTCTGAGTTGGCCTTCCCCAGCGCACTGATGCTGAGACCCGACTGCCCAACATCAGGGAGACCTGATGGCTTGTTAAAACAGATTTTGGTCACTCCCTGGGAGTTTGGTTTATTACTGAGTCTCTGGGAAGGCCTGGTTCTGAAGGGTACTGACAGACCAAGCCTGGCTACTAGCCCCAAAAAACCAAGTAGAAAAAAATAGATGGTGCAGCCTGTTGTGGTCATGTGGCCATACAAGAAAATATTTAAGTACTTTCTTTGGGATGTCAACCACAGCTTCAGGGTTAAGTAGGGAAGGATCAAAGGCAATAGTCTAGGGGGTTTGCATAGCTAGTAATGTTGGTCAGTCCCTGGTCTGTTTGATCTTTATCCCGTAACTTATCCTGCAGTTTTGTGGGGGCCAAGGAAATGGTCAATACTGGTGAGGGGGGCAGTTTCTATTCCAGTCACATTATATTTATCTATCAGACTTGTCATCTTGAAATTAAAGATAAACTGAAGGAAAGAATAAAAGAAAATAATAGGTCAGAGACAAAAAGGGAGTTAGGTCAGTGACTGGGGCCTCTTTCAGATTCAGTGGCCCTAAGGTGGAGCCCAAGAATTTGCATTTTTAACTAAAAAGTTTCTAGGTGATGTTCCTGGTCTGGAGGCCACACTCTGAGAACCACTGACTGGTTTTTGCTCTGGACTACCGATTCCCTTATGAGTTTAATATATTGATCCACTTGGAACCGTCTCCAACGTTTTAGTGTGTGTTTAACACTCTTGGGTGTGAGAAGAGCCTAGAATCTCCAACAACTACCTTCAGAGGTGGTTTTGACTAGCAGCAAATCTCCAGTTCCGACTATCTAGAGAATTCCAAGTAAACACTGATTGACTTCGCAGGAGGCTAATAAACGCCGTCTCCACCCCCCCAAGAGACGACGGAGAGGTTGCACCGGCCTCTCCTTCTCAGCCCCGCTCCGCCGCTCACTACTACAGGGGCTCCGGGATACCCCAAGAACCAGAACCCCGCAACTTCCTTAGTGACTTAAAGGAACACAAAAGGGATTAGAGCAGGCCCTTGAGGACCGAGGCTGGTGATCAAACCGGCTGAGCCACCTAAGGGGAGCGTTCTTTCCCGCAGGTGGAGCCGGGGCGGGAGGCCGAAGCCGCGCGTGGTGCCGCCCTCTCGTCCCGGGGGGCGTTCCCGGCCGCGGCGGCGATCCTAACGGGCTCGCGAGGCCGCCGGCTCCCCGCCCTCCCCCGCCCTCCCCGGCTCCATCTTGCGCGCGAGCGGGTTGGGCTCCGACGCTACTCCGGGTCAGGTGAGGAACTGGGCTCTCGCCTTTCGCCCTCTCTCCCGCCTGGGTCACCTCGCCCCCAGCCCGCTGTGGTGGCCGCCCTCCGGGAAGCGGTGGGGTCCCGTGGGGTCCCCGCGCCCGGGCGCAGTGGTGGCGACTCCAAACCCGGGCTGCAGGGCGGGGTCGCGCCGGGGTGGGGTGTACTCGGGAAGCCGGCAGGCCAGGAGTGCGGGAAGACCGGGGGATCTTGTTGGTTGGTCCTTGGTGTCACTGGGCTCTGCCGGGATCCTAGAGCAGTGACGCCCTGCCCTCTGGCAGGTAGACCACCAGTGGAGAGGCTGAGGCCAGGGTGTCCCTGCTGAAGCCACCTTCTGGGAGGCCTGGTAGGAAAACCCAGGAGCGGCACTGAAAGCCAGATCTGGCCGGGGACTGACTAGACTTTCTGGTGACACAGCAAATTGAGGGAAACGGGAAATTTTGTACTTTGCCTAGCGAACTCTCGAGACAGAATTCAGAAACCTGAGATTTGTAGTCTGGGTTAGGCTTACGATTCTTGGGAACTATTCTACGGAATAGCATTCGAGATTTGATTCCTCTTCATTGAGACAAACAGCCAAAGTGCACGGATTGTCGCCCGCCCTCTGAGAAGACCCAAGAAAACCCAGGTGCAGAGGGAGGTGGGTGCTGTCCACTATAAAGGAAAAGAACCCACCGTCTTTAAACTCTGTAATTTGTCGGCTGATAACGAGCTAACTTGATTAATTTGTCTTAATTACATTATGTGTGTAAAGAGCTACTTGTCAGAAAGGCATTTCAAGCACTAGATAGGCAGAAGAGATAATTTTGGTCACTGTAAACTTAAGCCCACTTTTAATTCCCTCCTGTCTATGCAGAAGACCAGCCATCTTTCCACATTCTTTATCCAAATTACTGACTGATTTAAATGGTCCTTCCAGACCTAGAGGCAAGTTTTGGAAAATTGTATCTGATGTTGCCCAACTTCAGTCACCCTTCCTGGTTTTTTTTTTTTTTTCTTCTTCTTCTTCTTCTTCTTCATAAATTTGCAACAGCTGCCTCCTGTGTTCTGGGCTGCAGGCCAGCTTTGGGACTTCCATTGTAAGACCCACCCATTTACCAGCTGACTCACTGGGTGGAGATAGTTTGGAGAACCTAGAATGATTTTCTAGTTTACTAAAAGTGTTTGAGGATAGAGAATGTTAAAAGGAAAATAAAAGCTCTGGTTCACCAGTATTATTCACTTTGGTAAAGTTGTGTAATTTGTTGAGTCATCCTGGGATTTGTTTAGATTTTTACAAAAACTTTTTAAGTTTACCTTTTGAATAGATGATACTGCACAATGTTAAAAGAGACTGAAAGGACATTGAAAAGTAAGTTTCCTTCTCCTTGAGCACTCCTCTCAAGAGGCAGTCACTGTTTTTTACTTCCTTGTGTATTGTTTCACGGATATTCTATACGTACACAAGAAAATAAGTGTATTTCTTATACATATGATTTCAGATTACCTATACAGTTTTTCACCTTGCTTTTTTTTCACTTTGGAGAGAGTTTTGGAGAGTTTCATATATGGGTTGAAAAGCTGCCTCCCCTCCCATTCCCCCACCACTAGAAGCGCTTTACCACTGACCTACACCCCCAGACCCCCACCGTTTTTTTGTCCCCGGATTTTGAGACAGGGTCTTACTGATTTGCTTAGGGCCTTGCTAAGTTTCTGGGACTGTCTTTAAACTCAGGATGTGTCTGCCTTAATCTCCCTAGTTACTGGGTTTACAGGCATGCACCACTGCACCTGGCCTTCCTCATTTTTGAGAACTGCATAACACTTCATTTAATAAATGTCCATAATCTATTTCACTTGTCCCTTACTGATGGCTGTTTACAGATTTTTTTAATTTGTTATTCATTTATTTTGTTTGGGGGGGTAGTACTGGGGATTGAACATAGGGGTGCTCTACCACTGAGCTACATCCCTAGCCTTTTTTTTTTTCATTTGACATAGGCTCTCATTAAGTTGCTGAGGCTGGCCCTGAATATGAGATCCTTTTGCCTCAGCCTCTTGAAAGCTGGGATTACAGGGGTGCATTTGGCTTATATAGGTTATTTTTTTTTAAGAGGGGTGGGAGAGAGAGAATTTTTATTTTTTTTCATTTTTGGTGGACACTTAATGTTTTTTTTAATTGCAAATAATACTGTAATCATCTTGCATATACATAAATTTGCACTTGTGCAAGTATTTCTATAACATTCCTGGAAATAAAATTGCACTTTCTACCTTTTCATATAATTCCATTCTTTAAAAGGTACTGAAATTCACTATTTAAAATTTAATTTTTATTATACATAGTTAGGTTTTGCTTTATTTTCATTGTTTTGAAAATCTTATTGACATAATTCGTCTAAGCACTTAAAAGTAGGATTTAATATAGTAGTTAAATGTAGGAATAGAAGTTTGTCTTGGAATAATTAAAAAAATTTTTTTTTGTATGGGAGGCTGAGGCAGGAGGTTTGCGAGGTTTAAAGCCAGTCTGAGCATGGCAAGGTTCTAAGCAACTCAGTGATATGGCTCAGTGGTCGAGTGCCCCTGAGTTCAATCTCCAGTTACCCCCCCACCAAAAAAAATTTTTTTTTGTAGGTATAGATGGACAGAATGCCTTTATTTTATGAAATAGATAACATTTTTCCCCCATTATATAGATAAAGAAGCAAACAAGAGATAAGTCACTTTCACATTGTTTTACAATTGTAATATGACAGATCTATATGAATGGAAACATAAGGAAAGAAGAAACTTTCTTTGGGAAGCCTTTTAGTAGCTCTTCCACCACTAAATTTAAAAGTCAGTGTCCGGCTTCCTTTCTAAACATAATTCAATAGAACGTTGACCATTTTTTGCTTTTAATGTCAAGTGAGAGAAAACAAGATTTATTTTTGTCAAGTTACAATTGCTTTTGTTTTAAATTAGATTTTTTCAGCCTCAATGTGAAGTCAAGGAAAATGCAAGTATCTGAATTATGATTAAGACCATAATACATTAGCTTTTTAAAATTAATTTTTAACAGTAGAATATATTTTGACATATTGTACACAGTGGAGCACAGCTTCTCATTCCTGTGGCTGTATGTGGTGCAGTCACTCCAGTAGTGTAATCATACATGTATATAGGGTAATAATGTCTGTCTCATTCTACCATCCTTTCCTTCCCACAGCCCCACGCCTCCCTTCACTCCCCTCTACAAAAACCAAAGTTGTTTCATTATTCCCTATCCCCCATACCACTACTGATTAGCACCCACTTATCAGAGAAAACATTAGGCCTTTGGTTTTGGGGGAATGGCTTATTTCACTTGGCATGATATTCTCTAGTTCATCTGTTTACCTGCAAATGCCATAATTTCATTCTTCTTTAAGGCTGAGTGATATTCCATTGTGTATATGTACCATATTTTCTTTATCAATTCATCTGTTGAAGGGCATCTACTTTGGTTCTGTAGTTTAGCTGTTGTGAATTGAGCTGCTGTAAACATTGATGTGGCTACGTCACTGTAGTATGTGATTTTAAGTCCTTTGGGTACAAACCAAAGAATGGGATAGCTGGGTCAAATGGTGGTTCCATTCTAAGTTTTCTGAGGTATCTCCATATTGCTTTCTATGGTGGTTGCACCAATTTTCAGTCTCACCAGCAATGTATGGGTATACATTATTTTAAATGTCTTTACAATGTAGTAATTTTTTAAAAACATTTTTTATTTTTTAGTTGTAGGTGGACACAATACCTTTATTTTATTTTTATGTGGTGCTGAGGATCAAACCCAGTGCCTCATGCATGCTAGGCGAGCACACTACCACTGAGCCACAACCCCAGCCCTATAATGTAGTAATTTGACCATGCATTCATAGTGGGATATATCCTGGAGACATAGAATATTGTAAAAAATATATATTATTTTGGTTATTTTTTATTGTTATGTGAGTAACATTATAGACATTTGTATTAACTTCCTATGGCTTTTGTAAAAAATTATCACAAACTTGGTGGCTTAAAAAAAAAAAAAAAAAGCAAACATTTTCTTATAATTCTGGAGTCCAGAAGCCCAAAATCAGTATCATTGGACCGAAATCAAGGTGTTGGCGGGCTGTACTTCCCTGGAGGTTGTAGGGAAAAATCTCTTCCTTCCTTGCCTCTTTTAGTTTCCTTGGCTTATGATTATACCACTCCAATTTCTGTGTCTGTGACCACATTGACTTTTCTTCTGTGTGTTATTCAAATTTCCTTCTGCCTCCGTATTACAAGGATACATGTGATTACATTTAAGTCCACATGGATATCTAGAATAATTTCCCCAGTTCACGTTCTTTAATTACATCACTTTTTTTTTTTTTCAAAATAAGGTAATGTAGTGTTGGCCAACTCTAAGGATTAGGGTGTGGTTATTTTTTGAGGACCTCTGACTGAGTTAACTACAGTGTCATTATCTTTCTGAAACTCAAATACAGTATGATGAAGCAAATAATTATGTTAATGTCATTAGGAACTAAGACTTAGGGTGTAAGGGAAAACATACATAAATCTAAAATTAAAAACCCTGTAATCCCAAATTTGCAGTGGAAATATCAATATGAGTAAGTTTTCTTTAGAAAAAAAAAATCATTAGCCTTGTCACGCTGAAAATCTAGAGACAATGATCAATCTAGTAGCAATGAATATCCCTAGTACCCAGGTTGTCATCTCTAAACTTTTTCTACTGAAAATGATTAAGGGCTTCTTGAAGAGTAGACTGTCCAGATCTGGGCAAAAAAAGTACAAGATGAGCCTGAAATATCTTTTCATGTAAAATGGCAAGGAGACCTGGGGGTGTTGCTCAGTAGTAGAGCACTTGCCTAGCATCCTCAAAACCCTAGATTTAGTCCCCAGGACTGCGGGGAAGAGATGGTCAAGGAAAATAGCAAAGATTTCATAGCCTACTATGAAGGGGCTCCTTTTCACCAAAGGTGGGATAAATTGAGCATTAATAAGAATAACTACAGTGGTCTCAAGCGTGTTTAAATTCTTGAATTCATACAGATACTTAAAAAAATTTAGTGCTCATTTTTTAGGCTAGCTCATTATTTTGAAAAATGGTTTAAAAAAAGGAAAAAAAATAAAATAACTTCTATATAAACTATACTTCAGGAAAACTAGTGTTGATGATAATATATTTCTCAAGAAGTATTCTTGAGGGGCTGGGGATGTGGCTCAAGCGGCAGCGTGCTCGCCTGGCATGCGCGGGGCCCTGGGTTCCATCCTCTGTACCACATAAAATAAAGATGTTGTGTTCACCAAAAACTGAAACATAAATATAAAAAAAGAGGTATTCTTGAGAATAATGTTATAATTATATTTAGTGTTATCAGTCACAAAAATGAAAAGGTATAAAAAGAAAAACACATCCTTATGTGTTTCCTGATAGAAGTACAGAAAACATCTATTGATATTCTTGTCCAAAAAACCTGGATCTGAACAAGTTTCTAGATCTTACTACTGATTTTTTTTGGGTGGGTGGTGGTAATCATTAACACTGAGGAGTTTCAGTTGGCAAAATCCAGACATTGGGAGATTTTACAATAAACTGGTTGGTTTCTTCAAATAAACTACAAGAAGAAACACAGGCAGCATAAGGAAGGGGAGGCTTATAGATAAAGAGACATATGAACTGATTATAATAGATGGACCTTATATATTGATTTGAACAATCAAACTAATTATAAATATTTTGAGACAATTGGAAATTCAAACAATTACTATATATTCGATATTGGGGAATTATTAAAATTTTAAGATACAGTGTTGATATATGATTGTGGATTAAAAGAGTGCCCTACTTTCTCTTTTACCTGAAAATGTATTGACATCTTTGTAAGTTAAAGAATGAAGTCTATGAATTTGCTTTAAGATAACCTAAAGGGAGACCAGTAGAGGAAAGGAACCAAGTGGGGGAGAGCTGGGGAATAATACTGGCCAATTATATTGTGTGTATGTACGAGCATGTAACAACAAATCCCATCAGTATAATAATATAATATTTCATAGATTAAAACAATTTCAGGGGCTGGGATTCAGTGGCAGAGTGCTTGCCTAGCATGTGTGAGGCACTGGGTTTGATCATTAGCACCACACAAGAAATTAATAAGATAAAGGCATGCTGTCCATCTACAACTACTAAATAAATAAATAAATAAAACAATTTCAGTAAGACATGGAGTTAAAACTAACACTATTATTTTTACTTCTGAATATGTTTGAAATTTTCTGTAATAAGTTAAATAAGTACAAAACAAAATAAAATCTTTAAGAGACAAGTGGAAATTTTAACTCTGACACATTGATATTAAGGGATTATTCATTTTTTTCATGTGTAATGACACTTTTAAACAGCTCTGTTAATTATTTTAACAAGTCCTCATGTTTTTGGAGCTTTGTTGGAGTATGTATAAGTTAAAATGATATATAATTTATGAGATTTGCTTCAAAATAATACAGTGGAATGACTGGGAGTGAGAGAGTTGTAAAGAAATAGAATTTAGCCTTGCATTGATAATTATTGCAGCTGAGTGATGGGTTTATCTTTACTTTTGAATAAGTTTGAAATTTTTCATAATTAAAAGTTTAAAAAAGCAAGGATTTAATCAGGTATGTCAATTTTTTTTTTTTTTTTTTTTTTTTTTACTTTTTTTTGAGCCAGGGGCTCACTGCTCTTCTACCCTGGCTGGCACTATAAGCCCTCACTGCTGCACCAGTTCTATGTTAACTCTCAACATTTATGCCATCATTTTCCATAACAGGGTTATATTCCCATATAAGGGAATTTCTGTGATACCTGGAAAGCATATTTTATTTTATTTAATTACTTATTTTTGTTTTTGTACCAGGAATTGAACCCAGGAGCACTGAACAGTGAGCCATATCCCTAGCCCTTTTTGTGTTTTGTTTGAGACAGGGTCTCACTAAGTTGCTGAACTTATGATCCTCCTGCCTCAGTCTCCCTAGCCATTAGGATTATAGGTGTGGCCAGTATGCTCCGCATGTATTCATTTTTAGTACCTTCACTTTGTGTCAGAAAACTACTGCAAGTTTTTCATTTATGAAAGCAATACAAAAGTATAATTTTAAAATGAATGTAAGTAAAAATTAATCGGCCTAAAGTATTTCCCAAATAATAATTGTAGAATTCAGAGATGAGATAAACTGTATGGTGTAAGAATGAAGTTGGAACCTTTACTATACTGATCTGTGCAAATAGCCAAGTGAAGAAGCATCTATTATAAATGTTGTATATATCCCTAATATCCACATTTTGACACCTACCATAAATCTTCTGTGTGGTTGCATGTGTGCCTGAGTATCTTGAAAGGCTTTAAAACTTACCAGAAATTACAGGGGACATTTTTTTTTCTTATAATTACAGAATGTCATACCCAGGCTATCCCCCCACAGGCTACCCACCTTTCCCTGGATATCCTGTAAGTATTGACACTTCAAAAACTAAAATAACTCATATCCTTGAAACAGGTATTATATATAGGAATAACTGATTGCAGATCTTACAGATGTGCTAGAGCAGGGTCATAAACTTAAACCTGCAGAGGTACCAAGTATAATTGGTAATTAAAAGCAGATGCTGTAGGGAAACTATCAAGAACAGTTTTCATTTATGGGAAGCTGGTGGCTACTCAGCTCTAGTCCCATAAGGCTAAGCATGGAGGTAGATCCAGTGTTGCAAGATATTTCAACACCTCAAGTAAAGCCAGAAACTTACATTTAGTGTGCAATGACCTAAATTTTAAAAATTTTGAAGTTTTAAAAATGTTAACTGATACATGAGCTTATAAAACGGGTATGTAAGCCAAGTCCATCCCATGAATGCCTGGCTTTTAACCATTTTGTTAGATTTAAAATAATGAAGAAGATCTTGACTCAGATAATTTGCAGTGGATCAGAGGGCCCTGGACTTGTTGATAGCTGTACCACTCTGAGGATGAAATTCATAGCTGAGGCATTCATAAGAATTGCACATTTCAATTTAATATTCATAAGTGTATTAGGACTGTTATATAACTCTGGAGGACTGTAAAGTGGGGCCTATACAGGTGAATGTTAATATATGGATCTTTATGTGAAGTAAATATATGGCTCTCCTGAATTTGTCAGAGGAGAAATGAGAATTACTAATATGTTCCCAGGTTTGTACCAAACTGTAACTCTGACAACCATTTCTGTCAGTTAGGCTAATTGCTAAAATAAACAACCCTAAAATCTCCGTAGTTTATCACACATATCTTGCTTGCTTCAGTTTCTTGGAAGTGACAGTAGGGCAGGGGTGGCTGGGAGGAGGCCTTCTTTCATGTACTGCTTCAGATTCCCAGGTTCCTTCCTTGTATTGATTCTACCATCCTTTCACACCTCAGGTCTTCCACTGGATTCTATTTGGGTGGGAGATAAAGGAAGAAAGAAAACATGGAAGATTGGGTAGAGGTTTTTAGTGGCCAGGCTAGTGGTCTGCTTTCATTCACCAGTGTTCAGTCATGTGGTGCTCCCTAACTGCAAGGAATTCAGAAAATGTAGTTCGGCTTTGTGGCTGGGGAGAAAGAGTTTGTTTTTGTTTTTAAAGTTCTTCAGTGTTGCCCAGGATGGCCTTGAACTCTTGGGCTCAAATGATCCTCCTGCCTCATCCTCCCAAGTAGCTGGGAGTACAGGGGTGTGCCACCACAACTAGCTAGAAGGAGTTTATTTTTTATTTATTTTTTTTTTTTTGAGAGAATTTTTTTTTTTTTTAATATTTATTTTTTAGTTCTCGGCGGACACAACATCTTTGTTGGTATGTGGTGCTGAGGATCGAACCCGGGTCGCACGCATGCGAGACGAGCGCGCTACCGCTTGAGCCACATCCCCAGCCCTAGAAGGAGTTTATTGAACACATTAAAGAAAGTCTACCACTCGTAGATGTCTGTCTGAACTAAAATCCAAAATGTTACATCTTGTGTATGATTGAATCACCCCTTTTTCTTTAATCTTATGCAACAGGTCCAGTTGTATTGCAAGAAAACAATGAATTCCTCTCTTTATGGTAGAGAGGAATATCTTTATCATATTTGCAAATGCTAGGAAAGTGAAGGAAATCATGAGCTTTATTAGTTGTTTTTGAAGCCTTGGGGTTGGCAAGAACCTAGTTCTGACATTCAAATAGAGAAATGGACCCCTCTTACATGACCCAAGTAGAATTAAATTTAACTAAATTTTGACAAGTGTCTGAGAAATTTGTTTAGTACTTATAAACTAGTGTAAGATGCTAGGACTTCTAATGAGATTTTTAAAAAATAAAATAATAAGCTAAGAGATCTTGATGATAATTTTTGGTCCTCTCTTTTAAAATATGGGTCATATTTCTCTGATCATATTCATTTGAAAAATTTTCTGGTTTTCTAGCCTGCAGGTCAGGAGTCATCTTTCCCGCCTCCAGGTCAATATCCTTATCCTAGTGGCTTTCCTCCAATGGGAGGAGGTGCCTACCCACCAGCACCAAGTGGTGGCTACCCAGGARCTGGAGGCTTCCCTGCATCTGGAGGTTATCCAGCCCCTGGAGGCTATCCTGGTGCCCCACAGCCAGGGGGAGCTCCATCCTATCCTGGAGGTGAGTTATGGATTGTGGGATTACTGATTTGGGATTGCTGAAGTACTTTTTCCTTTTCTCTCTTTAATTCCTGCTTGTTTTATAAGAGGTCAGAGTTGTTCTTAGTTAATCATGGACGGTAAGAGGAAATACCTAGCTGGCAAGGTGGAAGTATAAAAGTTCTCAGAGGACCTGAAAGCTGGGAGCAGTCTAAAAAATTCTGTGGAGAGAATTGGAATAAATTTAATGGTAATAATGGGCCAATATGTAACACTCTGGTTGATTATTTATGATTCTAAGAACTAAGGCACTTCAGTTAGTATGACTTTAACCTTCAACTTTATCTGAAGGTTTTTAAAAGAAGGAGGAAAAAAAACCCCAAAAAACCTTAGCAGTTTGTATGGTCAGTTAATAAAGAAGATGAGTGTAGTAAAAATTTTAATTTTATGTATTTTTGGTACCAGGGATTGTACCCAAGGGTGCTTAACCACCGAGCCACATCCCTAGCCCTTTGTTATTATTTTGAGACCACCTCACTAAATTGCTGAAGCTGGCTGTGAACCTGTGATCCTCTTGTCTCAGTGTCCCAAGCTGCTGGGATTACAGGTGTGGGCCTCTGCCAGTTTGTAGTAAAAAATTTTAAGGAGTTGGTGAGAAGCTGAATAATACACAAGAGGACTGCTTTTGCAGCATCACTACTATAGCGTTTCCCAGCAGATTACTCTGCTGGGCGTGGTGGCGCTCACCTGTAATCCCAGCGGCTCAGGAAGCTGAGGCAGGAAGATCCAGAGTTCAAAGCCAGCATCAGCAAAAGTAAGGTGCTAAGCAACTCGGTAAGGCTCAGTCTCTAAATAAAATACAAAATAGGGCTGAGGATGTGGCTCAGTGGTTGAGTGTACCTGAGTTCAATCCCCGCTGCCAAAAAAAAAAAAAAAAAAAAGATTACTCTGAAGTTTTCTCTGCATGAGAATTTTCACTATAGCTTATTGAACTATTTTTTAGTTCCTCCAGGCCAAGGATATGGAGCCCCACCCAGTTCAGCGAGCTTTTCTGGTTATCCACAGCCACCTTCACAGACTTATGGTGGTGGTCCTGCCCAGGTCCCACTACCTGGTAGGTATCAGCTGGTAGTATAGAGAGAAACAGTAACATAATACTGTGAATTTTTTAGTCGCCATTGAGAGAACTTGGTTTATGTTTGTGATAGTCTTCAGTGAATATGTATATGGTTTCATGAAGCAATTTAATGGAAGTGCTTAATCAGTAAAATGGGGATGTGGAATCACTTTTTGTATTTAAAAGTATCTCCAAAGCCAAAAAGAAAACACTTTAGGAACATCTGTCCAGTGTGTGCCACAAATGAAAACACCCCTGATAACCATTCCAGGTGGAGTCAGAATTAAATGTGGGTCAAATGTAAAAATACATAATTTGTTACTGTTGTGTAGAACAGGGAATATTAAAAAACCCATGTTGGGTTTAAAATCAGTGTCCTGGTGTGACATCCTGTTGATAGCATGAATGTTCTCATGTTTCTATATTCATAGTGATCAGTGTTATTTTGAAATATTGTCATATAACCTGTTTTTTTTTTTGGGGGGGGGTTATTGTTGTTTTTAAATATTTAGGTGGCTTTCCTGGAGGACAGATACCTTCTCAGTATCCTGGAGGACAAGCTCCTTACCCTAGTCAGGTATTTTTGCTTCTAACTTTTAAAATTTAGTTTGGGAAACTGGAAAATGCCAAAGAAGGATACCTCTCCTTTGCTAATATTAGAGGTTTCCATGAAGCAGAGGAAATGGCCTATTACAGTTACTTGACTTTAATCTTTACTTCTGATAGATCCCTTGCTGTCTTTTGTCCATCAGCTTTTAGTATCCTGATAACTTCAGTAAGATACATATAGATCCTTCTTACAGATAATGAAGCTCATAACTTTAAAGATTCACTTGGGTTCTCAGCATTGGTTTTAGTTCTTTTTCCTGTTTCCTGCCCTTACCAGCAATTATAACTATGAACTTGGGTCACTGGGTGATTGGAATTTCTGACAATGATTTATGAAGGGTTGTTTTGCTTTTCACTTTTCCATTTATAACTTTCCACTCTTCTTTCAGATCAATACAGAATCCTTTCCTTCCTATCCTGTTTTTTCTCCTGTTTCTTTGGATTGTAGCAGTGAAGTGAGTAAGGCTTTCTAATGTTCATTAATCACTAGATCCTCTCTATATTCCTCTATTTGTTTCTGGTTTCTCAAGCATTTTTCTTTCATCACTTCCTTGAAAGCTCAATTGTGTGGGGGTTTATCTTTTTGTCCAATAGTACTTGGCAGGGCTTTGAACATGGTAGTTGGTTAAGCATGTTGCATCAATTTCTTGGTAGCCCCAGACGGTCTCCCATACATATGTATATGAAATCTTCATCCCATCTCTATAGATCTTCTGGTTTATTATATTTCTTTTTCAGTGGTGCTGGGGACTGAACCTAGGATCTGAGCATGTGAGGCAGACACTTTGCCACTGAGCTACATGTCCAATCTGATAACTCCTTATTTTTTGTGTGCTGAGTGTTTTTTTTTATTATTCTTTTTAGATATAGAGCAGTAGAGTATATGACAGTAGAGTATATTTTGATATGCATGCATGGAGTATATCTTATTCTAATTAGGATAATACTATTTTATTCTTAAATCACTTTATTAATTATTTCATATCCTGTGGAAGTTACTAGGATTAGAAGCAGTATACTTTTACCTTGATTTTATTATTGATTTTCTCTATTATATATTAACAAAGGTCTAGCATTTTCAAGCTTATTTTAGGCTGGAGTATAGTATTAGAAGAGAAATACCTTAGTGAATTATTTTGGCTCACTTTTCTGATTTGAGGAATTTGAGATCCAAAGAGGTACCTCTTCTAGGGCCATACAGTTGGGGAAAGACAAAGGTGAAGACCTGATTGTAGTTCTTCTGACTTTCAGACCAGAGTCTTTCTGTTACTCTGTGCTGCTTTGCCAGTATAGCAAATGATATTCCTCCAAAGCACATAGTAAATGGCTTTCAGTCCTTTTTTATGATTGAAGTTGATTATTCATCATATTATAAATCTGTGGTTAATCACTTGTGAGAATTTTGATTTTAGCTTATGCAGATATATAGCTTTAAAGACATCATTTAATAATTAAATGAGATTTTTTAAAATATAGAACAGTAAAATTAAAATATATACATGTATACAACTTATTTTGTGTAACAATTTCCACCTTAAACTAGAACTGAAATTAATAGGGAGACCCAGCAGCTTGGGAGGCTGAGGCAGGAGGATTGCAAATTCAAAGCCAGCCTCAGCAATTAGCAAGCCCCTAAGCAACTTATCGAGACCCTATCTCTAAATAAAATAAAAAATAGGGCTGGGGATATGGCTCAGTGGATAAGCAGCCCTGGGTTAAATCCCGGTATTAAAAAAAAAAAAAATGGGGAGTTAACAGAGCAGTAGATTTTGGAAGAGCTTTTATTTATTTATTTTTTAATACTACTCGAGATTGAGCCCAGAGGTGCTATACCACTATGCTATATCCTCAGCCCTTTTTTGTTTATTTAAAAAAAAAAATTTAAGACAGGGTCTAGCAAAATATCCCAGAATGACCTCAAATTTTTACTCCTCTCCTCAGCCACTGGAATAGTTGAGATTACAGGCATGCACCATTGTGCCCACCTAGCTGGAAGAGCTTTTAGATGGAAATAGCTTAGTAGCTCAGTGGTTAAGTAGTTAAGTTCAATCCCTGGTACAAAAAAAAAGCCCTTACCCACCTTTAGTACCAACTGATTTCAACCTTCCCACTGAAAAACTAACCAGAATTAGAGTTGGACCAGAGAGATCAGCTAGCCCAATTACCCATACAAGAGAGTAATTTTTCTTTATATCTTTCTTTTTTTGGCGGGCGGGGGCGTGGATAACCAGGTACTGAACTCAGGGGCATTTGACCACTGAGCCACAACCCCAGCCCTATTTAAAAATATATACATTTATTTTTAGTTATAGGTGGACACCATATCTTTATTTTATTTTTATGTGGTGCTGAGGATCGAACCCAGTGCCTCAACGCATGCTAGGTGAGCACTGAGCCACAACCCCAGCCCTATTTTGTATTTAATTTGGAGACAAGATCTCACTGAGTTGCTTGGGGCCTTGCTTTTTGTTGAGGCTGGCTTTGAACTCGTGATTCTCCTGTCTTAGCACCCAACAAAGGGAGGGACTTCTATTAGCAGACTCATAGTGCTAAGAAATCTCTCCTAGGGCTGGGGATGTGGCTCAAGCGGTAGCGCGCTCGCCTAGCATGCGTGCGGCCCGGGTTCGATCCTCAGCAGCACCACATACCAACAAAGATGTTGTGTCCGCCGAGAACTAAGAAAAAATAAAAATAAAATGTTAAAATTCAAAAAAAAAAAAAAATCTCTCCTAGAGCTTTGACTGTTAGGAACATAGACTGATTTCTTTGAATTTAATATAATTCCTAGAGGATGATAATATTCTTGAAGATTCATTTCTAACTAAAGACTTTCAACATAGAATACGTCAACATTTTTCTCTACAGATGAAAAATAAAAGATTTTTTTCTTTTAGACAAAAGAGGAAAACAGTGGGAATCATCAAACAGTGTATGACAACAGTTCATTTTTCTTACTGTTCAGACCAGGTTATTAAAAGCAAGGTCTTCTGCCCTTCTAAGAATTTAGACAACAGTAGCTATCTCAATGGCCAGTATCTTAGTTTCTTGATACAGTAAGGCTTAAGTAAGAAGAGTATGTTGAAATTTTTTAATACTTGAATATTTGCTACAAGTAGAATAATTAATAGTTTTTCCTTAAAACCATCATAGGAATATTTCTTGTTAGTATTCTGCTTACATTTTTGGCTAGTAAGTGGGAGGAATTATTGACCATAAAATATTATCTTGGGACTGTATCTCTCCCACTGCCTAACATGCCCAAGCTCTGGGTTCAATCTCCAGTGCTGCCAAAATAAAAGTTTTTTTGAAAGAAGGTCATGTTCCCTTCTTTCCATTTACTTTGACCATAGTATATTATTGTATTCGGTAGGTATAATTTTAAATTCAGTTTTAGTTGCCTAAAAAGCAGTTGGATCATTTTTGAAATAATATTGATTGCATGTTTAAATGATAATACCTTTGACATATTTGGTTAAATAAAACATGTTGTTATAATTAAAATTTTTGAAAAATTCATGGGTTATTATCTTGCTTCATTCCATCCCTTACTAAGTCTGACTTGGAATATTTTAAGAAAACTATTGAATTGTTTCCTAGCATAGTATTTAAAGTGAAATACTATTGCCCAACCTCAGACCTTATTTAAATTTTACTAATTGCCCCAATAATGTCCTTTCTCTGATTCAGGATCAAATCCAGAATGAAACACTGAATTTATTGTCACATCCCTCAAGTCCTCTTTAATCTAAAATAGTCTTCAGTCTCTTGTTCATGACCTTTACGCTTTTGAAGAACACTGATTTATTTTAAAACATTTCTTAATTTTGGGTTTGTTTGATATTTCCTCATAATTAAATTCAGGTTATGCCTTTTTGTCAGGAATACCACAGAAATGTTATTTTCCTAGCATATCATATCCAGAGGCACTTAGTGACTTCTTCCATTACTAGCAAAAAAAATTTTTGATCACTTATTTAAAACATTACTTGCTCAGTTTCTCTCATGTAATAATCCAAACTATGCAGTTATCTTTGTTCTGATCATACTTTTGTCTCCTAATTTTAGCATCCATTGATACAGTTATAACTGAAACAGTTATTACAGTGGTATTTGTCAAATGGCGATTTTTAAATTTCCACAGAGATTTGTACTTTAATAATATATTCCAGGGTAGAGCGCTTGCCAAGCATGTGTGAGGCACTGGGTTCAGTTCTCAGCACCACATAAAAAATAAAATAAAATAAATAAATAAATAAATAATAAAGGTTAAATTCTTTAAAAACATTATATGTATATATAAATTTCATATATATATAAAATTATATATGTATGTATATGGTCTGTGTTCTGTTTTCTTGTTTGTTTCCTCATAAGATAGGAATATTGTACCTTTCAGAATCTTAATCATTATTTTTCTCATTTTGTGGTTTTATTATAAAACATTTTATTTTTAATAATCAGGGCCTTTGGAAGAAATGAAGAGAKATTACCAGAATTATATTGCTAGTTTGAAAACTTGTTGGGCTCTTATATCTATTTGACTAAAGCCATATTCTGCCTTTACATCAAACATTTTCACTCCTCTCACACTGTTTAGGGATCAGTCCTTTTTTTCTTCCTGTTCTAGCAAAAAGGAAGCCAATGCATAAGAAGACCATAACTTTAATTTCACAAGTTTGACCCTTTTGTGTCCTTGAAGATTGATGTCTGGCTAATCTGTTAATACAAGAAAAATTGGTTCCAAAGTGGGATAGGTCTTTCCTATCTGTTCTAGAATGAGCCCTGGTAATAATATGCTCATATTCTTGATATTAAATCCAAATATTGACCTTCTTGCCTAAAGATTGATATCAGGAGAATCTTTAATTTGCCTTATTGTCAGCAGAGAATCCTGACTTGGATTTTATGTTTTGTTCTTAGCCTGCAGCAATGACTCAGGGTACTCAAGGGACCATTCAACCAGCTGCCAACTTCGATGCTATGAGAGATGCAGAAATTCTCCGTAAAGCAATGAAAGGATTTGGTAAGGAAAACAGATTTTGTCTTTTATAAGAAGTTAAAATAATTAACTCTGAAGTAAAATAAACCTATGTCATAAACCAAGTTCATGTGTCAGCCTGTGCCCATGCTTCATTTTTTTCTGGCACATACTTCCTTGTAAGTATTCTATGGAATGGTCTCCAGTAGCACCCAACATAGATTTCATCCTTACTTCAATGTGTATGGTTCTTACAGGGACAGATGAGCAGGCAATTGTGGATGTTGTGGCCAGTCGTTCCAATGATCAGAGGCAAAAAATTAAAGCAGCTTTTAAGACCATGTATGGCAAGGTATGGGTTTTTGTTTCTGTGTTTTTGCTTTTCTTTAGTGACCACAAGCAGGGGCAGGTAGACTCTGCATTCATGTCAGATTGGATGCCATGTTTTTATTAGTATCTTTAGTACAATGGAGAGACAGCTAGAGTTTATAGACTCAGGAGTGGTGAATTCACTATATATTTCTTTTAAAAGCCTTTTTCATTCTAGAGAAATCCTGATCTCATAGTCATTCCTTATACTAATGTCTCATATGTGATAGTTGTTCAGTAGAAACCAAATTATGACCATAATCATGACCTCCTTATAGTGGAACTCAAGGCTTATTACATAGCCCCTGATTAATTCTTGGTCCTTAACATCATCTTCTACTCCTTCCTCTCCCTTCAAACAAGTTCTGTATTAACATTAAATGGAGCTGGCTGTGGTGGCACAGTTGACTCAGGAGGCTGAGGCAGAAGGATAGAGAGTTCAAAGACAGCTTTAGCAACTTAGTGAGGCTTCAAGGAACTCGATTAAACCTTCCTCTAAATAAAATACAAAAAAGGGCTGGGGATGTGGATCAATGGTTAAGTGCCCCTGGGTTCAATCCCCAGTACCGCAGTACAAAAAAAAAAAAAAAAAAAAAAAAAAAAAAAAAAAAATACATGTAACTACTTGCCATTCTTTGCATACTCTGTGGTCTCTCATAGCATGTTTTATACATGCTATGTTCCTGGCCTTTTACACCTTTTTGTCTGCATGACCAACAACTTCTTAAAGACTGGGTTTGAATATCAATTACTATAACATTTCTGTCATTGCTCTGGGCAGAATATAACTATTCCTTCCACTCTGGTCCCATAGCACTTTGTATACTGTCACTAATCTCATGGGACACCTCTTATAACTGTGAGCTTCCCTAGGATAAACCATGTGTGTTTATCTTTATGCCTATAGCACCAAGTATACAGTAACAAGTAACTTCCTAATATTTGCTGAATGGATGATCATTGATTAAATCCAGCAAGACTATGGCTAACAAGTTCCATCCTTTTTCAGATTTAATGAGAAACACTGGGCAGCATTATTTAGCTATTTATATAGGAATCCCCCAAATTTCCTAATATCTTCTGCATCTAGTTTACTTTTCTCAGAATGGAGTAGTGATTCCTCAGTCTGGCCTTGCCTATTCTATTCTGCCATTTCCTCTGCCCAACCCAGATTCACTACTACTACGGCTACTTTTTTTTTTTTTTAATTTTTAGGAAGGTGTGCTCTGGGGATCAAACCAGGACATCAAGCACATAGGCAAGCACTCTACCACTAAACCACATATGCTTCTTTATTCTTTTTTTTTTTAAATCTTTTAGTTGTAGTTGGACACAATACTTTTATTTTAATAGGATGCTGAGGATCGAACTCAGGGCCTGTCATGTGCTAGGCAAGCATTCTACCCTTGAGCCACAACCCCAGCCCCCTCCCGCTTCTTTATTCCTAAGATTAAGTATGCAAACACAAGCCCTAGACTTCCGTAAAGTGCAATATCAGATTCATTTCTCTCATATTTTCCATGTTATGAATTTCTTCAGTTCATATCTAGTCTGTTATGCTATCTTGAATTTTCTCAGATACTACTTTAGAATTAAAACTGAACTTAACGACCTATTTTTCTTACCCCAGCTACCTTATCACTTGACTTATTAGTAAAATGAGTTTTCTTGCATTCTGTGGAGTCATCTTTGAGTCCATATTCTTTTTTTAAAAAAAAACATTTATTTTTTAGTTTTAGGTGGACACAATACCTTTATTTTGTTTTTATGTGGTGCTGAGGATTAAACCCAGTGCCTCATGCATGCTAGGCGAGTGCTCTTCCTCTGAGCCACAACTCCAGCTCCTGATTCCATATTCTTTATCAATTAGTGAATATTTATTCAGGGCCTACTATATGCAAGTAGTGTCTTGTCCTAACAATTTTATTTACTAAGTTTTATTCTATAAAATGACTTTTTAAAAGTGTCTTTTGTATACTTTGTTCATTTCCATTGCTGCTGCCTAAGTTCAAGCCTGCTTGCCTGCCTTTCTTTCTTTCTTCCTGTCTCTTTTTCTTTCTCTCTCCCCCACCTCTTTCTTTTGTGGTGCTGGGGGTCATACTCATGTTAAACAAGTGTTCTACCATTGAGCTACACTCCCAGCCCAAGTCCAGGTCTTTTATTACTTCTTAACTACATATTTCAATAGCCAAAATGTTCTTATTTATAGCCTTTTTATTACCATGGACCATCCTGCATATTGTTATTATTTATATCAAACTATCTTGCATAAAAGTTTCCAGTGGCTCCTCCCAGAAAGTAATCCAAGATTTAGTTATCTGCTATGAAAACCTTCTTATCTAACAAAATCAGTTGTCTTTATTATTCCACTGAGCAAGCTTTACTCATTCTTTCCTCTTACCTGGTGATTCTCAAAAATAGCTAAATACCATCAAAAATTTTAGAACTTAAAAACACACAGAATTTCTAAGTCTTAGTTCTAGACACCAATTTTTAAAGAAGCTGTATAGATGATTTTAATACTGGGAACTACTTCTTTATTCCTTGTTCATGTTCCATCTTTCTGCCTGAAATACCTTTTTTTATTTGCCTGCTAATTTTTTTAGGTATTCTTCAAAAGCTGGACTAAAAGCTTTCTCTGAGCTCTCTATCCCTTTAAAACTTCCATGTTTCAACTTTTTCGGTTTGTTTTTATACTCCTTGTCTGGTACTGGAATACAGGTTGGCATGTATTCTCTTTTTAGATATTTATCTTTCCAAATGAGAGCAAGATGATGATGACTTCTATTTCCTCATAGAACCAGTTTCTTGTACTAAATAGATATCCATTTATGTTATTAATCTAAGTTATTATTTATTCCACATATTTCTCATCTTTGTAACTGGTAAAGTAGAACTGCAATAAGAATATATCAAGTGTTCATAGATAGAATGAATATGTATCTGCTCGAATGTAACACACTTCCAATATATGTGTTATTTCTTTAGTATATCACTTTCAGATTTGAAATTTAGGTTTTTCTAAAGCAATTCTATTTCATTTTTTCACATTTTTCTTAAAAGATTTAAGTGATAAAAAATTTGGAGACTATGTATGCTTAGGTTGCATTTGTAATTAAACAGGATTTAATCAAAGATCTCAAGTCAGAGTTGAGTGGAAATATGGAAGAACTGATTCTTGCCCTGTTCATGCCTCCTATATATTATGATGCCTGGAGTTTACAGAATGCAATGCAGGTACTTTGTCATTTACTACATTTTATTCCATTTCACATGTAAAACCCCACAAATTACAGTGGTTCTGAATTTTCATATCTGAAATAGTTTTTCAGTTCTAGAAGACAAGTGTTTGTTGGAGTAGTAAAATTTAATTACTTTCAGTAATTGAAAATAAAGATTTTGCTTTTCTTTTATATAATTTACCCTTTTCTTCATTTCACATAGGGAGCAGGAACTCAGGAACGAGTATTGATAGAGATTTTGTGCACAAGAACAAATCAAGAAATCCGAGACATTGTCAGATGTTATCAATCAGAATTTGGACGAGACCTTGAAAAGGACATTAGGTCAGATACATCAGGACATTTTGAACGTTTACTTGTATCCATGTGCCAGGTGAGTGTAGCGTGAATGTTTCTGTATAGTAGAGGGAACATACTTTATTGCCAATTAAAATGAACATTCTTATTCATTTTAATATTTAGCCACCTTGGAATATTGCCAGCTTTAAGAGGAATAGCACAGATTTGGTATTCAGGTTTTTTTGTAGTTAATACTGGGATTTATTTCTGCAAATTTGGATTTCCTAAGAAATTAGAAATTGGGGCTGGGGATGTGGCTCAAGCAGAAACGCACTCACCTGGCATGCGCGGGGCGCTGGGTTCGATCCTCAGCACCACATAAAATAAAAGATGTTGTGTCCACCGAAAACTGAAAAAAAAAAAAAAAAGTTAATATCTCTCTCTCTCTCTCTCTCTCTCTCTCTCTCTCTCTCTCTCCAAGGTTTAGTGGAAACAGAACCCAGCTTTAGGCTAGAATGGGGATAAAACTGTATATTTAAGTTTAGCAGTGTCCTGCCAGTTATATTGGACCAAATGAAGATATGTAGGACAGCCATAGACCTGCTGAACTATGTAAAGAGAGCCAGAAATGCAGAAAAATATTTAAGGGTTCATATTAATACTATGATTAGTATCATTCTTATTCTGATTGCCCAAATATGCTGGAGAAGTAACAGATAATACCCAAACTGGTATTTGGACAGAAAGGATGAGGATGTATTTGAAAGAGATGATAAAAAAGACTAGCACACAGATTCAGTGTAAGGAGTTATGGCTGTCCTACTAGTGCATATGTCTTGAGGAATCTAAAAGTAGAAGAGGGACTCTTAAAAGCCAACGAGGTAATTGGAAAAAGTGCAGAAGTTAAGGGATATGGAAACAAGAAAATGAAGCAGATAGGTTGTTATAACAGTAACAGAGCAGGGAAGTAGGTTAGCATTTAGAAAGAACAAGGAGGAAAACAGGAATAGTTGATGCTTTTCTGCAGTGTGAATAGAAGATTAGCTTCCTAGAAAAGGGGACTGCATTTTGAGTATGAGTCCAAAGGCAGTGTTAAGGGAAGTTTTTCCTTGAGCATCTTTTTCTGTGCTATGTTCAGATACCCATTTAGAATATCCCTCTACATATTCTTTGTGTTAAGTGCTTCTTAGAAAACACTCTTCACCTTGAGAGAGCATCTTTTCATTTTGTTCCTCAGGCACCAACTTGAAAGGGCAACCTTGTATTAAGATTATACTTGGGGGGGCTGGGGTTGTAGCTCAGTAGTAGAGTGCTTGCCTAGCATGTATGAGGCACTGGGTTTGATTCTCAGCACCACAGGTAAATATATAAAATATAAAGGTCCTTTGACAACTAAAAAAATTTTAAAAAACTAAAAACACCTTAGATGAAGGAAAAGAAGTCCATAAAATCTCCATATTATATCTTCCCTCCTTAGACTTTAAATTCCTTGAGGGCAAGAACCTTTAATTTTATGCATGGATATAAGGGGAATTCCATACAGTGCATATTGATGTTTAAATCTTAGCTTAGGAGAGTTTTAATTGTGTCATTTGGTAGTTTGTTTCTCCTAGTAAAGAGATTTTTGTTTAAATCTTTTCTGTTTTAATTTGACTCTCAAAGCCCTAAATTTCTTCCTTTTTTCCCCCCCCCTTCTGTATCAGGGATTGAACCCAGAGGCACTTTACTACTGAACTACATTTTTTATTTTGAGACCAAATAAGTTGCTGAGGCTGGCCTTGAACTTGTGACCCTCCTGTGTCAGCCTTCCAGGTTGCAGGTTCCAGGTTGCTGGCATGTGCCACTGCCTGTCTTGAAACTCTTTGTTTTAAAATAACCTTATTAAACTCTGATCATTTGCTATAAAATCCAGACAGTGTAATATAGTACTAGCTGCACTGCTACAGTTTCTTTGGAAATGAAAGATACATATGATGACTTAATGTATTAATCTTTAATAAGTTGTCTCTTTAAATCCAAATGTTACAAGATTGCAAAACAATGTTTTTAATAGCACTTTTCTTCATTTCAATTCATGCCTTCTGTTTTTTTGCAGGGAAATCGTGATGAGAATCAGAGTGTAAACCACCAAATGGCTCAAGAAGATGCTCAGCGTCTCTATCAGGCTGGTGAGGGGAGACTAGGGACAGATGAATCTTGCTTTAACATGATCCTTGCCACACGAAGCTTTCCTCAGCTGAAAGCTACCATGGAGGCTTATTCCAGGGTATGAGCTTTTCTTCTGAAAATTTGGTGTCTGTTTTAGGATGTGAAAATATTTAACCCTATAATTTTTGTTGACAGATGTCTAATCGAGATTTGTTAAGCAGTGTGGGCCGCGAGTTTTCTGGATATGTTGAAAGTGGTTTGAAGACCATTTGTAAGATATTTTTGTGCTTTTCTTGGTTTTGTTTTCCAATCAATAGGGGTTTGAATAGTTGTTCCCATTAAGTGATAATAATTAATAAAATCTTCCTGGCATCACTTAGGCAGAAACTGAGTTAATTATATGTTTTTCTTTGTAATTTCCTGTGAATGGTTGCTGGTGTGGTCAAAATAGGATTGTTTTGAGATTATTCAACTTTATCTATAATATCTTTTCCTGAGAACTGTGCAAGAAGATTCAATAGATTATAACACTTCTTTAAGGTGAACAGGAAAGCATTAAGGAACTACTGGTACCATGACAAAACACTTTTGAACCCTCAATTATGGTTTTTAAGTACTTAGCCCAATGAGACCCTTTCCCCTTTTGAAATTAAACAACCCGTTTCTGGTGATCTAAATGCCCAGATGTCTATTTGAAATTGAAATTTTGTTCCCAGGGATACTAGGACTAAGGAGAGTAACACAATTGTATTAGCAATGGAGTATCTTACAAATATTACTATCCTAATTATAGCAAAAGTGATAAATGTACACTTAGTACCCTACTATTTGTAGGAGGAAACTCAACTGAGTGAATTTTCTAGAGAAATGCCAGATTTCTGAGCGTCATTTTGAACTCTGCTCAAATCTTATATCTTACTTTCAGCCAAATGATATTCTTGACTGAAAATTTGGTGTCTGTTTTAGGATGTGAAAATATTTAACCCTATAATTTTTGTTGACAGATGTCTAATTGAGATTTGTTAAGCAGTGTGGGCTAAGAGTTTTCTGGATATGTTGAAAGTGGTTTGAAGACCATCTTACAGATGGTCTATTTCACATGAGTCCTAGGCTTATTTTTTTCTTACAGGTGGTCTTCAAACCACTTAAAAAAGTTTGTCATTATTCCTCTTAAGATATTACTGGGGCACACTTCTTACAGATTTTTCCATTGTAAGGGAGCAAATATAATGAATCTAAATCAATACATTTATGGAGAAAAAAATGTTTTATGGGACAGAGGAAATCTTCTAGATTTGAAGGTAGCTTGTATGGTACAGCAAGAAAGAAAGATGGCTGAGAAAAACTAAGGGAGGTTGACATCTCCAACTCCTCTGAGATTTCTAACATGATTATGTAGAAAATAAAGGCAAGCTAGAAGTGACAAAAGAAGCTGGAGGGGTAAACTGGTTTCCAAGTCATGATTTTAGACTGAAGTATCTCTGACTTGTAGTGCAGTGTGCCCTGAACCGTCCTGCCTTCTTTGCTGAGCGGCTGTACTATTCTATGAAAGGTGCAGGCACAGATGACTCCACTCTGGTCAGGATTGTGGTCTCTCGAAGTGAGGTAAGGCAAAGCAGCACTTTTTCTTTTTGTCTGGGATTTTGAATGTTAGCTTCTTAAAAATGTCTTAGTTGGTTGTGAACCAACTAAGAATATTGTAAGAAAGAGCTTTCTTTGTCATTGTATTTATTTGTCATAGTATTCACTTTCTTCATTTTGTGAGAGAGGCCTATAGTAGTGAACAAAACCCTCTACCTCAATAAAAACACCACCAAGAAATGTTCCTAATTGAGAAGATCTGTGGAGACTACTTATTTTATGGCAAGTTGAATGATATTTATTTTTAATTTAATCTTTGTAAGAAACAGGAGTCAAGCTGTGTTGCCTAGGCTGGTCCCCAAACTCCTGGGCTCAAACACTCTTTCTGCTTGAGTCTCCTGAGCAACTGGAATTATAGGCACGTGCCACCATGCCTTGCTTGTTTGCTTGCTTTGGTCTGTTTGTTTATTTATTTATTCATTTTTTCACTTTATTTTGCCTGGCTGGAGTCAAACCTAGGGCCTTATATATGCCAAGCAAGTGCTCTACCACTAATTAATCTACAGTCTTGGGCTTATTTTTAAAATTTTGCTCATGTAAAAAATTACATGAAAAACTAATATATGTTAATCCTATTAGATATGAAAGTTGATTGAAATTTAATGTCCCTTATTCATTATAAGGGATCACCATTTTTCTTTACCTAAATGTGGACTCAAACATTTTTATTTATATATATATGCATCTATAAGAGTGAGTGTGTGTGTGTGTGTGTGTGTGTGTGTGTGTGTGTGTGTGTGTTTAGTGTTGAGGATTGAACCCAGGGCCTTATGTTAGGCAAACACTCTGTGACTAATCTGTAGCCTGAGCCCTGAAATTTTTTAGTTTTAGGGAAATATACACTACTAAATAATACTAGAGAAGCTAGATCATTTTTACCAAACCAACCAGTGTATGATGTTTTAAAAAATATTTTGTGTGTTTATTCTTAGTTCTCTAACCATGATCTTTTAAAAAATTGTAATGAGGAGCTGAGCTTGTAGCTCAGTGGTAGAGCACTTGCCTAGCATGTATGAGGCACTGGGTTCAGTTCTCAGCACCACATATAAATAAATAAATAAACAAACAAACAAATAAATATCCATTGACAACTTAAAAATATTTTTAAAAATTGTAATGAAATATTCATAACACAGAATTTACCATTTTTAAACATTTTTAAGTATACAATTCACTGGTGTTAAATATATTTATGTTATTGTGTTACAATTACCACTGTCCACCTTAGAACTTTTTTCTTCTTGCCAAACAAAATTTCATGTTTCAGTATTGTAGGGACCTCTCACAGCATGAGGAAAGTTAATACTGTGCTTTATTCTACCTTTCTCCTTAAACAGTAAATCCCCAACCTCTTTTCTTTCAAACCTCAGAAACCACCATGCAACTTTTTTTTTTTTTTTTTAATTTACTTTATTTATTTATGTGGTGCTGAGGATTGAACCCAGGGCCCTATGTATGCTAGGCAAGCATGCTACCACTGAGCCACAACCCCAGCCCAACACCATGCAACTTTCCATTCCTATGTTTCACTGTGCTAGCCACCCCGTATGAGTGGAATCATAAAAGTATTTGATCTTTTGTGACTGGCTTTTTTTACTTAGCTTAGTGTCTTCATGATTCAGAAATTTCTCCCTTTTAAAGGCTAAATAATATTCTATTATATCTTTTTAAAAAATTTTTTCAGATGTTGATGGACCTTGATTTTATTCATTTATTTATATGGGGTGCTGAGAATTGAACTCAGTGCCTCACACATGCTAGGCAAGCACTCTACCACTGAGCCACAACTCCAGCCCCAATATTCTATCTCATCTATTTACTACTTTTTCCTATCTGTCTTTGCAAATGTGGCTTGTTTCTACCTTTTGACAATTGCGAATAATGCTGCTGCAAAGATGGGTATACAATCTGTTCAGGTTCCTACTTTTCACTTTTTTCTTATTTACCAAGAAGTACAATTACTGAATGATGTAATTCTATGGCTCTTTTGATTGGGGGGGAATCACCATACTGTTTTCCATTGCAGTTGCATCATTTTACATTGTCACCAGTGATAAATAATGGTTCCCGTTTGTTAACATCCTCTCCAACACTTATTACATTCTTTGTTTGTGATAGGAATCATTCTATTATCAAATGGCTTATTCTATCATAGCCATTCTGTTTTTTAAATGACTAATATATTTGGAATAATAGATAACATGAGTATCACACTTACCCAGTATTTTACAGAACAGTTAATCAGACTTCCATTGGGTACTGCTAACCCTGGTTATGAATGTCAGCTATAAAATGTCAGTCACTAGGTGTTTCCTCCTTCCCCACATTTTGATTATTAAGAACTTATGATTAGCCAGGTGTGGTGGCACACGCCTGTAATCCCAGCAGCTCAGGAGGTGCTAAGCAACTCAGTGAGACCCTGTCTTTAAATAAAATACAAAAAATGGCTGGGGACATGACTTAGTTGTTGAGTGCCTCTAAATTCAATCCCCAGTGCCACACACACACAAAAATTTACGATCATTAAGAATTACAGTAAATAGGGGCTGGGGATGTGGCTCAAGCGGTAGCGCGCTTGCCTGGCATGCATGTGGCCTGGGTTCGATCCTCAGCACCACATACAAATAAAGATGTTGTGTCCGCTGAAAACTAAAAAATAAATATTAAAAAAAAATTTTTTGAAAAAAAAAAGAATTACAGTAAATACTAGGGGTTTTTGACTAATTTTTTTTCCTAACCTATCATTTCTTATGCAGATCGACCTTGTACAAATAAAAGAGATGTTCACTCAGATGTATCAGAAGACCCTGGGCACAATGATTTCGAGTGACACAAGTGGAGATTACCGAAAGCTGCTTCTGGCCATTGTGGGTCAGTAGAAGGGATTTTTTTTTTTTAAAGGAATGAAGCTATTCATAGCTCATTCTTTAGAACAATGACTGACCCGCATGCAGCAGTATCAACTACCGCTTAACCAAAACAGCTTTTTACCAAGGACTGTCAGGGTAATGTGCTCAGTTTGCACATGTTGTTGTTGCCTTAAATCTAATGTTATCTTTTCATTCTGTGTATAAAGTAAAGCCATATACAATGATGTAATAATTTTGCAATGTTTGTAAAGCTTCATTCTCACTGCTTTTATTCTAATCAGGATTTCAAATTGAATAAAAATCACAGCAATATTTACATGTGTAATCATGAGTACATGTTTTAAAAGATTTCTCATTGGACCGGGGACATATCTCAGTGTTATAGCAGTTGCTGGGTGTGTGAGGGCTTGAGTTCAATCCCCAGTTCTGCAACAACAAAAACTCATCACCTCAATCTAGTTAAAAAAAAAAAATGAGAAAATACTATTTTATAAAAGTAATGCTGGTTTGGCTTGACTTCAGAACATGATTGTGATAAAGGAATATAAATAATGATGTGTCCACACAACTCACAGCTAGTAATAACTGGTTATTTCCCTCCTTTCCTCTGCCTTGTGCATGCTCAGCAAGTGCTCTACATCCCTGTCCCTTTAAAAATAAATTTATTTTGAAATGGTTTTGCCAAGTTGCCAAGTCTGGCTTTGAACTTGTTGTTCTGCCTTAGCTTCTCAAGTATTTGGGAATGTGGGCATGTACCACTGTGCTTGGCTTACTTATTCTTTGTTTTCTAACATCTTAGTCTTTTCAGCATAAATAGGAAAAAAAAAAAAAAAAGAGACTTTGCTTTAGCTAAGTTTGTATATTTCCATTAAAAAAAATAGATTTATGGGGGCTGGGCTCAGTGATAGAGCGCTTACTGTGCATGGGTGAGGCACTGGGTTTGATCCTCAGTACCACATAAAAATAAATAGATATATTGTGTCCATCTACAACTAAAAAAATATTTTTAAAAAATATATTTATTTTGTTTATTTAGGTTTTTTTTTAATGTGGTGCTGGGATGTGATTCTGCAACCTGTACACTTGGAAAAATGAGAATTCATACCCCATTTGATTCAAATGTATGATATGTCAAGATCTTTGTATTGTCATGAGCAACTAATAAACAATTAATTAATTAAAAAATAGATTTAAATGTTGGTAGGGGGTACTCGGGATTGAACTCAGGAGCATTCTGCCTTGAGCTACATACTCATCTTTTTAAATTTTTATTTTGAGACTGGTCCCACCTCCTCAGTCTTCTTAGTAGTTGGGATGACAGACGTGCACCACCTTCCCCAGCTTAAAATCAGTATGATGTTCGCCAAATGAGAACAATTTACCTGAAATCTGAGCAAAGAGATTTCTACAATCTTCAAATTGGTAAATATGGAGATTATAGAGATTTTGCTGGTATTCTTGAGATTCCTTTCCATCCTAAGGCTGATTATTATAAATTATTTCCCTGCTACGGGATAGTGGGAGTTCCCTAATGCAGACCACACAGCACTGAAAGTGGTGAGTTCATCAAACCTGGTATTGTAAACTGATGGGACTACGTGCAAGATGGTAAATATTGTTATGCCTCCAAGGCTGTTCGGAGCTGAGTAGGAGCAAAAGAAGGTTGCCTCCTCCTCTTCAGATCCCCAGTATCATTACCCTAACTTTTTATTGGGCAGGACATCAGATTGTTTCTGTATTCCTATGGGATTCCACAGGATATGGAAGAAAGGCAAGAATCACTTTATATGTTCAATACTCAAAGTAAAATAAATCATTTTTAATTTATATAAATCACTATCTTCTTTTAACCTTTTTTACCCTAAGCTTTGTTTCTTAGCACTTTACTAGCTATCCAATGTACAATAGGGTGGAGGATGTACTTGTTGCCTTTCTAGGTAATAAAGTCTACTAATAACAACTGTTTTATGGCCTTTCCTCTCATAATCATTTTTCTGTTATCTTTCTGAAATTACATTTTAGGTATCAACTGTCATTTTTGCTTAACTACCAAACAACCATATCATCTTATTTTAAGTTAGCATTTGTAAAAGTCTTTGAAATTCTGATTTTACTAATTTATAAATTTGATTGATAGGAAACTACTTCCATGAAAAGTGATTAATAAAAATTCCCAAAAGACAACTTTAATTTTAAGATAAATAACTAAATAATCAATTTGGTTCCATGATTTTTCAGAAACAATAGAAATTGTAAATTTCTTTTTAAAAAAATTCAGCTCTTTTGACCGAGAAGGGCAATTTGTATCTTATTTTGCATGATTGGTGTTCTGTATTCAAAATATTTAACTCTCTACAGACCAGTTTTACCTATGACAACTTTTTAAAATGGAATCAAATGTTTATATGTTTAAAATACACATCTTACTTTTCCCAGTTTTTTAAATTGAGGTATTTTTTATTGGCATAAAAACTTAGTAACTTGTTGCCTGAGTTCATAGTTCATATTTTTATTGAATAAAAAATGTACATATTTAAGGTACACATTATGGTGTTTTGATATGCCTTGTGAGTGATTCCCACAATCAGGTTCAAACTAATATCTCACCTGCCACATTTAACCAGTTTTTTTGTATGTGTAGTGAGGACACTTAAGATCTACCTTAGCAAATTTCAAGTGTACAAAACATAATTAACTATAGTCACCATGCTGAACATTAGATCTCCAGAATTTATAACTGAAAGTTTGTACCCTTTGACCAATATGTCCCTATTTCTCTACCCCCACCCCTAACAACTACCATCTACTGTTTCTCTGAGTTCTATTATTTTAGATTCCACATTTTAAAAATATGCAATATTTGTCTTTGGCTTATTTTACTTAGTATACCTGTCACACAAGTTTATAGTTAATCCCTGTTGCAAATAGCAGATTTCCTTTTTTTGAATAATGTTCCATAGTATATGTAGACCAGGATTTCTTTATCCATTTGTCCATTGGTGGACATGGGTTATTTCTATATCTTTTTCTTTTATATTTTTTTAGTTGTTGATAGATCTTTTTTATTTATTTATACCTGGTGCTGAGAATCGAACCCAGTGCCTCACATGCCAGGCAAGTGTGCTACTGCTGAGCCACAGCCCTAGCCCCTGTTTCTATATCTTGGTTATTGTGAATAATGCTGCAGTGAACATGTGGATATTTCTTCAAGATACTTTATATTTGGTGCCCTTCAATTATATATGCAAAAATGGTATTTCTGGATTTTAAGTAGTTAATATTTTGAGGAACGTCCATCCTATTTTCCATAACAACTGTACCAGTTTACATTTTCAGCAACAGTATAAAAGGGTTTCCTTATGCCTGTGATCCCAGTGGCTCGGGAGGCTGAGACAGGAGGATCGTGAGTTCAAAGGCAGCCTCAGCAATGGCAAAGTACTGAGCAACTTAGTGAGATCCTGTTTCTAAATAAAATACAAATAGGGCTGGGGATGTGGCTCAGTGGTTGAGGTTCAATCCTAAAAAAAAAAAAAAAAAAAAAAAGGATTCCCTTTTTCTCACATCCATGCCAATATTTATTATGTCCTTTCTTTCTGATAATAGCCAACTTAAGTATTATGAGGTAGTGTCTTCATGGTTCTGATTTACATTTCCCTAATGATTAGTGATGTGGAGCAACTTTTCATGTGCCTGTAAGCCATTTGTATGGCATCTTTGGAAGAATGTTTATTGAGGTCCTTTGCCCATTTTTTTTTTTTAAGACAGAGGGGGAGGGGGGGGGAGAATCTTAATATTTATGTTTTAGTTTTCGGCAGACACAACATCTTTGTTTGTATGTGGTGCTGAGGATCGAACCCGGGCCGCACGCATACCAGGCCAGCTGTGCTACCGCTTGAGCCACATCCCCAGCCCATATTTATTTATTTTTTCCAGTATATAAACATGCCACAGCTGCAGACAGCTAAGGATCAAATCCAGGGCCTCACACGTGGTAGGTGAACACTCTACTGCTAAGCCAAAACCCCAGCCCCAAGAAGCATATTCTTTATATGTTTTATACATATGTACAATAGGGTGGAGGATGTATTTGTTGCCTTTCTAGGTAATAAAGTCTACTAATTTATTTATTTATTTTTGGTGCTGGGGTTTGATAGGTCTCACCTTTAAATCTCTATTTTCAGAGTTTACTTTTGTGTATGATGTAAGATAATGGTCTAATTTCATGCTTTTGCATAATACATCACTTTTATGTCTTCCATAATTCTGAAGATCTTTATTGGCCCTTGATGATTTAAAAAATTGGTTATATTGGGCGGGGGATGTGGCTCAAGCGGTAGCGCGATCGCCTGGCATGCGTGCGACCCGGGTTCGATCCTCAGCACCACATACCAACAAAGATGTTGTGTCCGCCGAGAACTAATAAATATTAAAAAAAAATTCTCTCTCTCTCTCTCTCTCTCTCTCCTCTCTCACTCTCTCTTAAAAAAAATTGGTTATGAAAGACATTAAAATTAGTTGCAATTTAGGCATGTTCCAAGAAAGTGAGGTTTAACATACCTTAGGTGCTCAATGTATGAGTGAATGAATATTAAAGTGTCTCTGTGGGAGAACTGAATGCTAGCCCCTGGGAGGAGCTAGCCCCTAGTCTAGGAGATGAGTTAGTGGGACAGCAGAATGGCATCAAAACCCAATGATTTAACCCTGAGACTAAGCAGTTATTTGTTATATTGAGCATTACACTAGGTCTCAAGAGAAAAGGCAAAGGAAAGAGTTTGTAAGTTAGTGGGAATTCTAAACAAATTAGTATGAAAAAATTATGTTAGATTATAAATTCTGCTGAGGGTAAGAACTTTATTTGTTTTATTCAAACACTGTACTTGGTACAGAAGCAGATTCTTAATATAGGTTTGACAAGCAATTACACTCAAAATCAAGGGAATGAATAGTGAATATCAATTATTTTTCAACAACTTTTTTTGAGAGAGAGAGAGGGAGAGAGAGAGAGAATTTTAATATTTATTTTTTAGATATTGGCGGACACAACATCTTCGTTTGTATGTGGTGCTGAGGATCGAACCTGGGCCGCACGCATGCCAGGCGAGCGCGCTACCGCTTGAGCCACATCTCCAGCCCCGACATGGGGGTCTTGTGTTGCCTAGCTAACCTCCAACTTGGAATCCTCCTGTTTCAGCTTCCCAAGTAGCTAGGATTAGAGGCCCATGCCTCCAGGCCTGACAACATTTGTGTGTGTGTGTGTGTGTGTATAAATACTAAGACGGATGAATTCAAGGTGAAATAAGATACAAGCTGTTCATAAGAAGATAGACCTAT